ACATTATTGCATCTGTGTTGCAAGCCTAATTCATGGTCAGTGCACAACAGAATACGGTTATTTTCAATTATCCTAATCCCCCGAGCTACTTTCAGGGGGTGATTGTGTGTGTTCATGTGAATGATTTAAGGAAAAAAAAAAAAAGAAAGAAAAGAAAAAAAAAAAAGCACCACACAGCAAGCAAAGTTATTTATAAGATAAGGTCTTGTTTCTGAAGCAGGGCACTGAAGATGGAATATAAAATGCTACCACATGCAGTTCTGTTACAGATGGTTAGCCCAGATTGGAGGTGGAATCTCAGCTTCCAATCAGCTTGCGGTTGCAGTCTCGCCGGGTTGCTGTTTAGAATCTGGTATTAAAATTCTTTGTCAAAACAGGTCATCATCAGAACAATGATGTTTGTCATGAAAATGAATCTTTAAGCACAAGTCTGGCCATGGAGAGCATAAAGACTTGTATACTATCTCATAAAAAATAAAAATAAAAGATTTTATGTTTACTTTGCTTTTTAAGATTTGAAATGGGCTTTATAGTGCGGAGAAGACAATCTTTTTTTATCATAACACTTTGCTAATTTATACACATTAAATATTAAAATGTCTTGCTCAGCACCTAATTCTAATGTATTTTACAGGAATTACAATACTTGAAGGGGCTGTGCTCGTTTTAAGCCTGAAAAGCAGCAGGATGTAAACCCAGAGGAAGCTGCTGATGAGTACTAGGCTACTAGGCTAAGGCGGGGCTTCCTGTAAAGCAAAGATGGTGATTAAAGTTTTCAGACCAACCGGCTGAGCTGGTCAACTAAACATTCAGAGAATTTATGAGTTACAGCCTTACATCTGTGACATTATGTGCTGTCATGATGTTCACGTGTTACCATGTTGATACTCAGTCAGTTTCTGAGCTCCTGTCACGACATGATTGGCAGTCAAACTGCGTTTTGGTGGAAGCTGAGGAGTGGTGGTCTCTGTGTAAGGTGATCCCAGACACTTACATTCCTGTCTCTGCATTGAACTCTCACCGCTGAGTAGCCAGACAGTCGTTTAGATGTGTTTTGTAGGGTCATGCCTATCTTTAAAGAAGACATTTAGACATGCCACATTAGGGAGAGCACAGGTGTGAATAATAAAATGAGTGATGGCTAAATTCAGTAAAGCTGCTTCAGTTTCAGGGGCCTGGTGTTGTCAGTGTTGGCAGCAGAGCCATCGTTGGTGTTAGTACCTGGCTATTTCTCGCTGAAGTCAAAATGTCTGCTGCGGATAAAGATCGGTATAGATCCGGCTTCATATTTACTCACAGGCATGTGCAGTTATTCAGTGTGACTCCTGCTAATCATACAGATCCCGGATCAGCGCTGAAACCTGTCAGATAATCTTTGCGGTGTGTTACAGTTGTGGTCAGTCTACCGCTGGACTGATTTCATTATAAATCCATTGCATTAAGCTAAGCTGCTTTGAATGTTCTTGACTCCTGTGTTCTCTTAGTCTGCATTTTGTTGTCTCAGCTTGTTCTTAGCCAGAAGCCCAGTCAGGCCTTTGGCTCTGCTCAGCCCAGCAGGGACTGTGTACTGTTTATAGATTAAGGCCAATATAATATAGCCGATGTTACACCTCAAGCTTTTAGGCGGCTAATGGTACACTTTCCTAAATTGTCCTGCAATAAATTTGACCAAATTGTAAGGTAGCAATATTTCTTTTGCTTTTTGGCAAATGAAAGCAGTAAACAAAGACAAAACACCCGTTGTCCCTCCAGTCCATTTTGTTACCAGTGCCGGGGTTTCATTGAGATGAAGCACGGTGCTATTTATTGTTTAGTATTTTTAGATTGTTTTGGAAACTGCATCATTTAGCAATCTTATCTGTATTACCATCAGTACGTGATAGATTTTGTTACGCTTCCACTATGTTTACTAATTCATAGCCACTTGGTTTTTTATCTCTTGAAAGTTTATTCCTTTTCCCACGGTCTCTGCTGTTTTCTTTCTGTGTGTGTGTGTGACACTGTGGAACATGTCAGGCGGGACGTTATCTCGTCATGGTGGCGTCTGTCTGTCTGTTTTGTAGACACATTGTTGTGAACACAGTGACCAAAGAACAATACATGATAGAATCTTTATTCTTTAAAACCATCAGTTCCACTTTTAAAGCAGACGGTGTGATGACATTAAATACCTTGCTGTATAGATTCCCAATCATGATAAGCCTTCTCAGAACTATTAAAACCTACTCTTAAGTTCAGTATTATAAGAGCTACCACTGATCATCCAGATATGCACTCCTTTCATCGGACGGCAGCTAAAGGTGTCAGCTTCATGTCTGAATGTGCAACCTGATCACTTTTCCGTAAATCGTACCAGGTTGGAACAAGTAACATTTCTGTATCGCTTTCAACACAGCACAAGTCTGAACTACATGCAGTCACGTTACAGACTAGACACTCAGAAGTAATGCCACTTCGAGTTGTGTAAAGGGTTTCTGGGAAGACTTTTTTCCCACATCTCAGTACCAGTAAGTGTTCAAAAACACCACAGAAAGTGTTTAATCCGTTACATCCCAATTCTGCCCATCACATTGCTCCACAATTTACAATCTGTTACGATACATATTGAAATGTTCATAATAAAAACAGACACTTAACAGCTAAAATGAAAGACACTCACCAATTATGAGTCTAATCCAGGGTTTTTTTTTATTGTTTGTTGTTGCCTTTTTCCCTTTAAAAGACATGAGCTGAAGTTTTTTTCCAGCTGCTTGTCTTCCTCCCGAGTTTATCAAATAACCTGTAGCATCAGAAAGCAGCAAGATCCATATGTACGTCTCCAAAGCAAAGACAGCTGCATGCACTAGCGCACGTGGAACAACATAACCGGTAACTTCATTAAACACTTATAATTATAAATCATCCCGTGGAGATTATCAGCCTAGGTCAGGATCAGTCCAGGCCAGGATAAACCCGTGTCAAGATCCCACAGCAAGTCATACATGCTTCACATCGGACAGGTGAGCTGTTACAGAGTCGCAGGTTAGTTTATGACATCGAGCTGATTTTGGGATTCTTTATTAAATACCTGCAGCATCAAAGTGCAGCAGGATCCATGCAGGCTGAGCACAAAGCAAGAGAGTTGAGCACACACAAAAAACAGCACAAACTAAATCAACGAGGATATTAGTTATTTAGACAATCTGATAAACTGCTGTTTGTTTGTTGTTGCATTATACATCACATGGTGCCTTGTGTAACATCGCGGGAATGATAAATATCGTGAGTGTACCGTGCCTCTTTCCGTCACTGGGGGAACATTAGCGAAAGAAGTGACCTCTGTCTGAATGACAAAACATCGTCACCTGTTGGCTGCTTGTTTCTTTGTGGAGCATCAGGCTACTGTGTTAGCGTTCTGTCTCTGTTTCGCTCTGCTAAGGTCGAACTTTTGGATTCATTGTATTTATCTCCAGGTCTGTGTGGACTTGGTCCCTTTTGGTTATTGAAATTTAATTTATTAACATCAAGGTCGTGTAGGTTTTGTACATTAAGGTCAGTAAAAACCTCCACACCTGAGTGCGAGTGTAGTCTCACAGAAGACCTTTCTCACTGTTGAAATGTGTGGACTGGTTTCTCTCGAGGAGAATTTTCCTCCTCAAGTGCTGAATTATGAGCAGAAACATTGAATATAGAGAAAATATGTTTCCCCTTTTAAAACCTACGACAAGCATCAAGAGTGGCTAAATATTTGTATTGACACCACACATGTAAATACAAAATTCCAAAGACCCATTGTTTTTGTTTCGTCGAAAGCTTAAAGGCATAACTTCCTTCTTGTCGAGCGTTAGATGAGAAGATTGATAAAACTGTCATGTTGGTGTGATTAATATGAAGCTACAGCCAGCCTCCGGTTAGTTTTTCTTTGCTTAAATACGAGAAAGAGGGAGAAACCTCTACCTGGACTGTGTTCAAAGACAACAAAACCGATCTACCTGTATTTCTAAAGGTCACAGATTAACATGTTGGGTGTCTTTTATTTAATCTGTACAAAAAAACTAAATGTAAAAACGACATCTCTATTGTACAGAGGATTATGGGTTGGATCTTTTCTTGAACAAGACTATTTAAGACTCCAGGAAGTTATTATGCTTGGCTCAGACATAGTCTGGCACACATCCTCCTGTCAAACAACAAATTGTTGTTGTTATATTTGTACACGTTTCACTGGTCTTTCTACCGATTAAACAAATGACATGCACCATGTTAAACAGTGAGCTTTGACTGTGCCGGTGCATGGATTTGTTTCTTACTGCTAGAAAGAGCCTTTCCAGCTGTTTCCCTCCATTTTCAGTCTTCGTGCTACGTTAAGCGAAGCAGCTGCAGGACGTAGCCTCATATTTACCTTAGAGATATCAGATTTATATCAATCTTTTCATTTATTTCTTCACCAAAGAGCAACTGTGCGTGTTTCCTAGAATGTCAAACCATTATCTGAACATGACTTTGAAAGAGATTTCAGCTCTTGTCGCTGCAACACACGCCTGCATGCAAGCTCACGTCTTTGCATTCATTCTCTGCTTGTCGTTCTTATTTACTGGCTTTTCTGCTGTGTGTTCTGATTTGTGGCGAGCCTACTTTGTTTGAAGAACTTTGTAAATAACTCATCATGTCAGCCACTCAACCCCCTGCATCTTTCTATCTTTCTCTCCGTCGTTCCCGCACCCCTCTCTTCCTGTACCGTCACCTGTCACAAGTGACAGTTGTCCTTGCCCCAAGAGGAAACATACTGTGACATGACCTGATCTGTGGCTTACAAGATCACCTCTGGTTCCTAGCTAAGACCTTGGCTTGGCATTCCTCCTCCTCCTTTCCTTTCATCCTTCTCTCTCCCTCCCTCTGCCATCGCTCCGTTTCCCCCCTGCTGATCTTTCTATCATGAGACAATCATTTAAAAACACCCTAATAAGTGAAACCAGTGTAGTGGGAAACCAATTAACCTTTACATCCTCCCTCTCCCCCAGGCCCAGGACCTGAATGTTATTGAGGAGGTGATACGCATGATGCTGGAAATCATCAACTCCTGCCTGTGCAACTCTCTACACCACAACCCCAACCTGGTGTACGCGCTGCTCTACAAGAGAGAGCTCTTTGAGCAGTTCAGGACGCACCCATCCTTCCAGGACATCATGCAGAACCTTGACACGGTCAGTCTGCTTTTTTCCCCCCACAACAATCACCCAAAATATGAGCCGTAAATTAAGCAAAGTTTGCACCACAGAGCACTTCAGATCAAGATGTTGGCTTATTTGTGGTAATTATCACACAGATCAAGGCTATACAGATTTTCCCTCAATGTCCTCTGTGTCTGCTGGGAAAGGTTCAAAAACCTGGAGCATATGTGAACTGCATCGTTAACATAGTGTGCAGTTGGACTGTAAGGCATGCTGGGCCCTGTGAACTTAAGTAATATGGATGAATTAATCAGTCCCCTTGTGTCAAGAGGCTGTAACTCAAATATTCATTGAGAATGTGTGGTGTATAGGGGAGGAAGGGACAGAGAAAGCTGTCATTCATCGCTGTATTAGTCATGTTGAGGAGGAAAGGAAGCTTTGGTGTGTATGTGTGAGGGATGGGGGTTGCTGCATACATTGCCTTGGGCTTTGCTGTTATCCATAAGTATGAGGGAGGCATGCTAGCTAGAATCCCTCGGTTAAGTCAGTCCCTAAGGCTGTTCTCCGAAGCCTTCCCTGCGCTTGCAAATCCGTGTGTGTGAGCATGAGATTCAGGATGAGAGGCTGCTTTTTTGCTCTTCTAAATTAACCCCATATGGGAGGCCTTCAGAGTTAATGAAGAGATTAGTATTAGATAGATGTAGACACACACGCACACACTCACACACACACACATACATGCTCGTGTGCGATTTCTTCTGTTTGAAACCTCTAAAGCAACCACAGAGCAGGAGCAGAGAAAACATTGCCCGTAGATGCATTTTTCACTGTTGGTTTGACAAAAAAACGGAGCATTAAAAAGAATCAGTAAAACCTAGAGTTTTTTAATTATCAAACATCAAACATTTCTCCAGGGAAGGACCTAGCACAGCCGTGGAAACACAAAATACTCTTTCCTTGATTTCATGTTTGAGCTTAAACCCAGAAGGCATCAGATAATTTGAGCTCCAGTGAAGTGCTCATTTTAAGTGGGATAAAACATGTTCAGACCCTATGTTGAATTTGTAATCCGTTTCCACTGACTAACAGCAGAATTCACGCAGTTTTGCATTTTGCAGTTTTGCCACTTATTTGCAACCATTCTCAATCATTGTTGTTATTTATTCGGCATATAAAAATACTATATTATATGCAGCTTTGTATCCCTGCGTAGTGTTCAAAGCAACTTCCTGTTGCTAGGAAACATGGCAACCTATGCATGCGTTTAATTGGCTGTTGATGGAGGCAGCTATATGTTGTCTTAAATCAGATCAAAACAAAGTTAGCTTCATAGATTTCACAGTGATTCTCTGATATGTAAAGTTCTTACCAGCTTGGAACATACAATATGTTTACAGAGTTAAGGTCCCCAAGGTCTAAGCATGGAGCATGATGCCATTTTGTTCTTGGATCTCCATATTGCACCCAGTGTCATCATATAGGGTGTGGCTACTGAAATATTCATGTGACAGCTCCAAACAGTGGGATTAGAAGACTCGGAGAGCTTCATGATGGAACTGGGAGTTGATATTAATCCTCAATGACATCAAGGTCTTGAGTGTGTATTTAGAAACAGGAACGCTGTGTGACAGCCAATAAAACAAGGGATCAGGTTTAGATTTGTGCTCAATGAAGCGATACCAATCAGTTAAAAAAGGCCTTGATCGGTGCCTATACCGATCTTTGAGATCAGAGCGGGACATCCCTGAAATTATACAATAACTTTGTTGTCAGTGATGACAGTATCATTAGATCGGTTTTGAAGAGGAAATGTTCTGGAATTTTAATTCATCAATTTAGTAATATTAAACATTATAAAATAAGCTTGAATATATATACAAATTTAAGTCACATTGATAAAAGTCTTTCTCTCAGTTTTGAAGAGAAAATGTTATAGAATTTTAAGTCATTTATTTAATCATAAGAAACATAATAAAACTTGAGCTAATAACAGATTAGGTCATACTATAAAAGGCTTTTCATTTCTAGAATTTTAGTTGATTTAATTAATTGATTTAGTAGTAAAGAAAAATAAGAAAATAAACTTAGCTTGATTTGAAAATTAAGCAACGTATACAAAAACCCTTAATTGTGCTTTGATTTTTTCATTTTATTTATTTTTTTTACACGCTAATACCAATGTATCTGTAATAACCCATCATTGGTCTATTACTCTTTGTGTACAAAAATCTAAATGTGCAACAAACTGTATGTTTTTTTAATAAAGGGATCTGTGAGCAGGACGATGTCTTGACTGTGCAACAGAGTCCACCTAGCTGTTTCTTCCTGTTTCCAGTCTTTATGCTATGCTATGCTAAGCTGTCTTGTCGTTGGCTGATATAACAGTGGTACTGATCTTATCTAACTCTTGGCAAGAAGGCAAATAAGCAAAGCTCCCAGTCTAACAGCAGACGATTCACCTCAAAATAATAACGCAGTTTAACTTCACAGTTTTTTCTTTATTCTTTATCCACTACCAACACAGCAAGTACTTGGAAACACAATCTCTTTTACAAGTCATCTCCAGCAGCCCGACTGTATTTTTGGCAAATTTCGTGATTGGCTGTTTTCTCCTGTGTGACCTTTAGGTGATAGGCTTCTTCAGTCAGCGTCTGGAGCAGGCTGGAAGTGACCTGTCAGTTGAGAGGGTTCAGGAGGTCATCATGAAAGGAGCCCAGGCTCTGCCCAAAGACAGACTGAAGGTAATTCACGCACACAGACACACAGCAGGACGACAGATGGAACGAGAGAGCGCGGAGACGAGGAGTCGTGAAACATGAGGCTGTCTGAAGTAAAAAGAAGTGGTACATCAAGATGCATGTGGAGAGAGTACAATGTGTTGTCAAGGACCGCGAGGTATTGAGGATTGGTGCTGGGAAAGTGGAGGAAAGAGAATTAGTTTGTCTGGACAGGTGAAAAGAAGCGAGAGGTATGGGGTGGGGAAATGGACTGGGGCAAGGGAAAGATGGAAAGAGCCATTGGGACTTTAGACAAAAGGCCAAAGCCCAATTCTCATTAGCATTAATGCCCATCTTCATTCCTTCTCCGCTGGCCTGCTACATGTGAACATGTAATGACATTTCAAGGAGATGGGATGGTAGGAAGGGGGGGTTAGGGGGCACTTTGTCATGGGCACATAAGATGGGGTGGAAGGGGTGGGGGGACATAAATCTGCCACCGCACCTCGTTACCCAACACTCCTGGCGGGTTCACTAACCCCTCCCCTCCCAATGCTCCTCCATTAATCAGTGAGGAAATATGTAACCGGCGGTCTTCACACTCCACACTGCTCCTCACCAGCACAGAAGCTCCTAATTGCATGTTTCATCATGTGTTTCATGTTCTATACTTGGCGGCTGGCTGCAAGGCATTTGTCTCGCTACCCGATGTGGAAGAGGGATGGTGCGTGGCCGTGAGTCCGTGTGCTCGCTCCGTCTCCCTCTCAGTCAGCACCTCGGAGCGCTAATGTAGCGATCGACCATAGAGCCGTAGAATTACACATGGAGCCATGTGGATAACCCTGCCGTGCCCTTCAGCCAATGTGCTGTACCTGTAGCACACACGCATGCAGTCCGCTGGAATGGACGTGTGTGTGTGTGTGTGTGATCTTCTCCGTCTGTGTGTGTTTAGCAGATGACCATTTGGATCTGTGTGTGTCTCCGTCGCTGAGTTTGGATACGTGTGTGTGTGTGTGTGTGTACATGAATGTGCAGCCAGGCTTTGTTTCTGTGCAAAAAAAAAAAAAGTGTTGTGGAGTCTCACATTGACTCTCCAGCATCTGAGTGCTTTCCAGTTCCACAGGGTGACGTGAAGCGAAAAGAAAACCCAGGCAATGTCTCCCGCGGGAGAAGTCCCCGCCGTTTGATGGTACCATCGCTCAAACAAACAGCTGTCTCTCCACCTCTCGCTTCCCTTCATCTTATGAGCTCATTCGGCTATTCAGCCCCCAATGTGAAAATCCATAGGTTAGATTAATGTTGTGTGGAATCATCGATAAGTTGGTAATTACTCAGAAAAAGGAGTATTGGTGTCTCAATCAGTTGTGCGTGCACACAGAGAGGACTGACAGGAAAGAGATGTAAGGATGTTTGTTTCTCTCAACAACACAAACACAAGCCGCGCCTGAGCCTGTTATTCAGCTCGGTTTGTCATTTGTTGGTGAAGTTATTCGATCCTGTTGTGAGTGTTTTCACATACATTTTACCTGTAAATGAAAGTGGACAATTCATTTTTTATTGTTGAAATTGAAGTTGTAGTCAAGTCCACAACTGAAACCTGAACTTTTTCCAGAGTAGAGAAGTCTGGAGACACCAGCGTTGTGCTGTAGCATGTGGACAATGCTGTTTATTTGCTAAAGAAATGTAACTATGATCAACTATGATCAAATAAACACATTAGGTCCAAACAATATTATATGGGCAACACAATTCTCTCAAGATATTGTTAAAAATAACCCAACAAAGTCATCACAGTGCAACAGTGTCACCTCTTCTTTTCTTCTTTTGTGATTATTAATTTTCAGCGTCACTGTTGCTAATCGTAGAAAGCAGTTGTGGTTATTGATCTGTACTTGCAGACAACTGAACAAGCTTAAAATGCAGAACTAACAGCCTCGTTGCTGTGATGGAGAATTTCCTGTTAGCCTTTGTTAACAGGTCGTCATATCGTGTCAGCAACACAACTGCATGCCAAAGTTTGCGCATTTTAGTTACCAAAAAATTTGATTAAATTATATGTTAATTCTAAGAAAATGCTACTCCTGCAGCAAATGTGTTTTCAAATATTAATACACGTTTGTGTTTTATTTCTTGAACTTATACAAATAGTTGCTGTACTTTCTATAATTCCAATTCAAATAAATAAGACATTTAGCTATTTTTCTATTAATTTTGCATACAACTATGAACAACGGTGTCTTTGAAAAGCCCAACACCAGGGTAGACACCAGCCATTCTGACATTTAAACTGTATTTTTACATTCATCAGCCTTGGTGTGGACATGCTGGGATTTGATCCCTTTAAATCAGTTTGTTGGGAGGAGCTGGCAGTTATATTCAAGTCAAGCAAACCATTTTGTTTAGGCTTTACACACATCAGATCCGTGTTGTTTTAAGTGACAAGAACATTGTAGACACAAGACTGCAAGAAGCCTGTTTGCTTAAAGAACTTAAAAAGCATTTACACAAAGACGCAGACATGCAAATTAGGTTCCCAACTGAAAGAAAGGGTTAAAAGAAGGTGGTAAATACCCCGGGGACGACCCTCACCGCCTCGTCACTCAACTGTCTCTCTCTCATTCTTTGTGTGTGTGTGTGTTGTTTCAGGGTGTGTGAGGCTGAGTGGCGCTCACGGGCAGCGCCTGTGGAATGTGTTGTTTAGCCTGTCTAGCTGAAATCTGCCTTATTGAGCAGCGATAGCCTACAGACTCACTGGCTCCTCAGGAAGGGACGGAGGGGGTTGGGGGGGATTACCAGCTGTTACTCGGTACCTGGGTCTTTATAGGCCTGGTGGCTGGTCAGTTCTACTTTCCCACACTCTGACCACTCAGTATATATATACATTAGTAACTGTAACTGTGCTTAAACGGTGCCAGTTGGTCTGTAACACAAGTTACCGGCACCATGTAGTTCTCTGAACCCTGCATTTTGCTCCTGTTTAGAATGTGAGCTGCTATGTTTCATAAACTAAACGAAACAGGGGAAATTATCCCATCAAGACAGGCAATACGGCTGTGTGTATTATTATTATTGATTAATTAATTTATTGATTATTCTATCAGTTGACAGAGCCCAAGATGACTTTATCACACTGCTTAGAATTAGGAGTTAAGAGTCAACAGTCATGCTAGCACCTAACTGAGGCTGTATTTAACATCAGCATACTGACTTCGTTATATAATAATAATAATAATAATAATAATAATAAACTTTATTTGTATAGCACTTTCTAAAAACATAATTCGCAAAGTGCTTTTACATAATAAAGAAAAAAAACAACATGTATAAAAAATACAAGCAAACACTCAAAATATAAAAATACACACAATAAAAATGGAAAAGAACAGACTGGGTCACTATTGAAAGGTGAAACTGATTAAAAAGAGGACATCACAGAGGGGAATGACGATATAAAAGTATGATAAAAGTAGATTAAGAAAGAGAAAAGAGAGAAGGACAGCAGGTAGAACCAATAAAAAAAGGGAAAAAACGGGCGAAAATCTAAAAGAGAACATCACTCGAAAGCGAGTCTATAAAAGCGGATTTTAAAAAGTGATTTAAAAGAAGATACTGAATCTGCAAGCCTTATGTCCTCAGGTAGGTCGTTCCAAAGCCGAGGGGCCCTCACAGAAAAGACCTGGTCACCTTTGGATTTGAGCCTCGACTTTGGAACGATTAGGAGGGACCCACCTGAGGATCTAAGGCTGCATGTGGGGATATACGGGGTTAACATATCTAAAATATGGCCAGGAGCAAGGCCCTGGCTAGCTTTAAAAGTGATCAGTAAAATCGGACAGGGACTCAGTGGAGAGAAGCCAGTAAAGGGGAGATGTGATGTATTCATTCTGAACAAGTTGGAGGCGAGAGATGGATTTTTGTGAGATGCCTGATAAGAGGGAGTTGCAGTAATCGAGATAGGAAAAGATCAGGGCATGGATGATTCTTTCAGTTGTGTTTAAATGTTATAATATTTGGAATTTTCATCTTCATAGTTTTGCATATTAACATCCTAACATTTGCTGAATAGATCTTAACACAGATTACCCTCAGACTAATAGGTATGTCATTATTTTTGCAGATATTTGGTCGTAAACCAAACTTCTAGATACAAACATTAAGGCATCTCCAAAGTTATCATAGTTCAGGCTGTGTTTGCCAAATATTCCAACAATCCATCCAATATATTTCTCTCAAAATCACCATTGTCAACCTCGTAGTAGCATTAGAGAAAAAGTCAGGGGATCCCCAAAGTGATTAGGATTCATTATCTGGGCGCCTTGAATATGTATGCTGGCTTCAGACCAAAAGATCCTCAAGTTACGTTCACCGGGAGCAGAGAAAAACAACATGTCCTTGCGTCTGAGAAGCTAGAAACCTGCTCTTGTTTGGCATTTTTGCTTTGTATAAGACGGATCATTTAAATTGTTAACAATTACGTTTGTGTTGTTTCAACACAAACAAAGAGAAAACACTTTGTCCACACTGTTGAATTGACAGTGTAAACATTGCAGTGACCACTTCAGTTAAACTTCAAGTGTGGGTAGGAAATTAGGACAGCGAACATAAACAAAACTTTGTGAAAATATTTGTGTGGATTTTCTCCATCACCGCTGTGTGAAACATGGGCTCACATCGCCAGTGGCTGTTGTCTACCATGATGGAGTATTTTCAGTGACCGAATTTAGACCAAATGTGTTATCAAAGATTAGTATGTTGATGGTAGTGCTTTGAAATATAACATTTCAGTGCTTTTGTGTGTACATGCTTTCAAGTGTGTTTGTGTGTATCAAGTTCATATTTTCTCCCTCGCCGCATTCTTCTCTGTCTGGCCGAGCGCTGACAGCACAGCAGCGTGCAGCGGAGGAAAGGGAACACAGAGTCCTGAGTGAAGATATGAGGCCAGCCAGTCAGTCTGTGTTCAGGGGCGAGGGCCTGACCTGCCAGGACCCATAACTAACTGATATGAGCCCGGGCCAAGTGGGCCC